GTCAGAGCATCCCTGACACATCCTTACATTTCTATGCTGACGACACAGTTGTTTATTGTCAAGCTAAAACAGTTGCTAAGGCTTTCCAGCTTTTGAAATCTGCATTCAACATCATCCAGACTGATTTGTTTCGCCTCAAACTTGTCCTAAATGCTGACAAAACCAAAGAGATGCTTTTTTCAAACAGAAAGTTGGTCCCAGCAGTTCTTCCTCTGATTTTATCCTCAAATGGTGTCCCCATTGAGTTTGTTGATTCCTATAAATATTTGGGTATCTTGGTCGACTCACATCTCTCTTTTAAGCTCCATGTGGAAAACTTGATAAAGAAACTGAAAGTTAAACTGGGTTTCTTTTTCAGAAACAGATCCTGTCTAACCCTGAATGTTAGGAAACACCTTGTATCTGTGACTTTCCTTCCCTCCATTGATTACGGTGACATTATTTACATGAACGCTCCTACAAGAACCCTGCAGATGTTGGATGCTGCAGATGTTGGATGCTGTCTATCATGGTGCACTAAGATTCATAACTGGCTGTGATTATCGTACCCACCACTGCACCCAGTATTCACTGGTTAACTGGACATCATTAACTTCACACAGACTCTCTCACTGGTACATTTTCATCTTTAAATCACTTCTTGGTCTGCTGCCTTCATACATCTCCTCCTAAATGTCTCTGTGTGAGTGCAGCTACAGCGTGCGCTCTCAGGACATTATTACCTGCAGTGTTCCCTCATGAGGACTGAACTAGACAAAAGGACCTTCTCCTACTCTGCTCCTGTTTCCTGGAACATCTTACAAAAAGATTTGAAGCTCTCGACCTTTGACCTCTCAAAGTGACTTTAAGAATCTGTTGGACTCCTGGCAGGGACCAATGCAGACATGTTCCTGTTTTTAGTTTTCTACATTCGCCTTAGAATCTAGCTGTTTTTGTTACTTTGTTTTGGCCATCTTATTTGTAAAAAAATATATCTGTATGAGTTTTTATAACTGCTTATTGTTGTCGCTGTTGTCCATTGTTGTCATCATTCTTTGTTGAAATCAGGTCTCTGGTAAATGAGTCCTCGAGGCTCAATGACTGTCTAAATAAAGGTTGAATGAATTGAGAACCTGTTGACAGGCTGCATCACAGGCCGGTATGAGAACTGCACCAGTCAGAGCTGGAAAGCTCTACAGAGAGTGGTGCAAAAAGCAGAGGACATCACTGGTAGCAGTCTCCACACCATCCAGGACATCTACTACAGCTGATGTTTGCGTAAAGCAGCATCATTAGGGACCACACCCTCCCAGCACAAATACTCTTCCATCTACTACTCTCAGGCAGAAGATACAGGAGTCTGACATCGCATACAAAAAAACTAAAGGACAGTTATTATCAACAAGCTGTCAGTTTTCTAAACTCTTGATAAATAACACTGAACAAATGACGATAACTTACTAATAATTCAACCTCAATGTCACTACCTGTGCAATAACCTGTCACACAACCCGTGTGGTTTATATATATATATGTGTGTGTGTGTGTGTGTGTGTTGGGCAGTATGGTGGCGCAACTGGTAGAGCTGCTGCCTCTCAGCAAGCAGGTCCCTGGTTTAAATCCCGGTCCGGGAGCCTTTCTGGGTGGAGTTTGCACGTTCTCTCCATGGGTTTTCTCCAGGTACTCCAGTTTCCTCCCACAGACCAAAAACATGCATGTTAGACTGATTGGTAACTCTAAATTGTCTCCAGGTGAGAGTGAGAGAGTGAATGGTTGTTTGACTTGTTTGTCTCTGTGTCTCTGTGATGGACTGGAGACCTGTCCAGGGTGTACTCTGCCCCTCGCACAGTGATTGCTGGACATGGGCACCGGTGACCCCCG